ATCATCCATCCTCCATCCATCCATCATGGACTTTCACAATCAAATCAGGTTGGGCGCAGGTCGTGTCGCTCCGATGATCGATCTTACTACTGCTTTGCTTCACCCATCATAACTCCTCATAATAGGAGGTTAAATGTCCTGCCCCCCATTATATACGTATATATTATAGATTGCCTGACACTTGTCCATTATCCACAGACCCAAAAAAAGGTGATCATGAAAAGAGTACCCTGAACCTCCCCCCTCCCCCCGAATCGGCTCGGTCTACAAATAACCTGCAACCAACAAACCCATCCAACCTATAAAACGAAAAAGGAGGGAGACGAGACGATAGGAGTTGACAAATGGAATGGCAATCGGGGCCCCGACGAAAACATTATGCCCACCAAACTCGATTTCAACTAAAAAAACACTGATGAAGGTAAAATGTAACTTGTAAAACTCTCTCTCTCTCTACAAATATATGCACCCATGTTTTACAAAGCAATTTTTCCCAAAAAAAAATAAAAATAAAAGAGAAAACGCTAGGAGAAAAGTAAAGAAGGGGGAGAAAAGGGTGAAAAACGAAGAAAAAAAAAGTTCTCTCGTTTGTTCCTTGAGAAACTACACTGAGGACCGAAAGCCGCTCATAACTGCCATTTGAATTAAACATGTTAACGGCTATCTTAGAGATGCAAGTGGGGACAAAACATTAACGACTTTTTGAACGAGCAAGCTATCCCCCCCTCCACAGGCCACAACAGCACGACTCCTTTTCCCCGTATTTCTTCCCAACTCTTGACTGACAAGAAGTGTGACAATCTCCAAACATCCTTTGCCCTCCCGCTTCCCCCGTTTTGAACATTCTTTTCCTTCTTCAAGAACAAAGAAACCAGTATCATCATCAACATTGATCTTGTCAGTGGTGCCTTGACGACTTCACATCCTCCACACCATCCTCATCTTCATCCTCATCTCTCTTCCTCTTATTCTGAGGAGGTTGTTGTAGCTGGACCTCATCATGCAATTCTTCATCTTCAACCTCCTCTTCCTCTTCCTCCTCCGCATCATCTTCATTGCCTGGATCCAAATCACTGCCTCCTCCGTCATCCTCACCCTGTCCAATTGGCTGAACCAAGTACTCTGTTCCATTATCCTCTTCCTGTCATAACAACCAGACACTGAATTAAAACTACAGGGGCATAACAATCACATTGAAACACTTGTCTAAATCAAACCACAAAATTTTTGACCAAATCCAAATGGGTGGGGCCGTGGGGGTATCTCAAGGCTCCTAGGTTCTCAGCAATGAACTTATCTAGTAAAAGGGCATAAAAATAGGCCAAAAATCATCCCAAATTAGACTTGATTTTCGCCTAAACCCAATGATGGGTGTATACCTAAAATAAATAATAAACAACACATCTAATTGCAGTGACAAAAAAGTACAACCAAGGGGGAAAAGGTCGGCAATTCTTCATCTTGTAAAAGACAGACATACTAATACAGGATAATTAATCTCAACTTCAGTACAAAAATAGAAAATTGAAATGACTCTTAGATGACCAACCATGCAAAGAAAGAAATCACGATAGCATTCAAAACATATTCTGATATTCATAAAAGTTCAAAACATGGGACTGGAGTACACTTTCTTGCCCCGCCCACATGCTGAACCCACTAAAACATCAAAATATCTAGGCCGCATATTAGTACAGATTTTATCCAGTAAACTATTTCAAGTCAAAAGTTAGTACAGATTTTGTTATTTCACTTGGAGCTGAGTGGCCATATTTTTGCACATAATAGGGTAATCTTGAATGTTGTTCCCATTCTGTGGCTTGAAAATCACATAAATAGGGTAATCTTGAATGTTGTTCCCATTCTGTGACTTGAAAATCACATAAATACATACAAGCTTCACAAGAACATCAAAAGTCAACCCACGTCAAGAAATTTCTTAAAAAACTCTAACCACTTGTAAACACAAGACAGAAACACAATACTGAACAACACATAAATTCAAAGTCCAGAAAATAGGCCAATACCATGACATTCAAAAGTGGAGTAAACCTCAACCCAGCACAAGACTTTCAATTTCCATATTAGTAGGATCATGCATAAAAGGAAGTCCATCCCTCTCATGTTTAGACTTAACCTTACAAGACACTGCTCTTTAATGTACACCATCTTAGCTGGTTTACAGGAGCCCCCCCCCCAAAAGACTGTTTACTCCAACATAAAAATGGATATAAATTTTGTACCTGCTAAAATACTTGAGCTATGTAAATCTTTTCCTAAAAAAGATGAAAATAATAGACGGATATTTCAGCCTGAAAATATTACCATCCATTTACAGATGAACCCAAGCAGCCTAAAGCAAAATCAGGCAGCCCAAGGACATCAGACCAATGCTCGAAACAAGGATTAGGAGAAGGAAATAAATGGACAAAGCACGATTATACAAATTTTAAGATTCATAACTAAAAAACCAGTTGCAACACATCAGGAAACACAATCAGTAGAGCTAAAATTTTCAGTTAGTAGCACTCGTAGGACTTCCAGTGCAGATATTACATTATTAGCGTAATAGGAAGTCCAAACGTGAGAAATAGGAACTTCACCAGATGCAGAAAAGCAAGTATTCCAAAACCCCACCTCATTATCCCACATACAAAAATCTTCTTGCCCCCAATACAAACATTAAGGCAAGCAGTTTTGTAAGTTGTCCTCAGCTAGCACTCCAAGTTTTCATTGTTGTACAACATTCCACTTAAAACCATATACAGATTTATCATTACAAATACAGGATATAGAAAATGGAGAGATAGGCAGTTGCAGCATCCAAATCGTTTCTATACAATTCAGGGTCGTCTCAATGATTCATTCATGCATCAAGTGGTAACTCCAAAATGATATCACACTAGGAGAACATGATGGATGATATTCTAAAAATGAGTATATCAATTAACAAAGAAAAGCAAGAAAGGTTACTCCTAACATATAAACTAAAGTAGAAAATGTTAAAAAGAACTACAAGAGACAAGCATGAAAGCTACCATTGAACTAACGTAAAGAGATAAATAAATTATACGGGGAAAGAAAAGAAGAAATTCTCACCTCATCCTCACCATCATCTTCTTCGTATTCCCCATCTTCTTCAACGCCCTGTTCTTCCTCCCCAATCTCGCCATTCTCATCTTCCTCCCCCTGTCCATGACCATCAAACTCAGAAAATGCTAACAGAAATACAAGAGACGAGCATGAAGATTACAACTGAACTAATTAAATAATGCACTACAGATAGATAAATAATTTCAACTGGGAAAGTAAAGAAAAAAATCTCACCTCATCCTCACCATCATCTTCTTCGTATTCCCCATCTTCTTCAACACCCTGCTCTTCCTCCCCAATCTCCCCGTTCTCGTCTTCCTCCCCCTGCTCATGACCATCTATCTCACCTTCCGTGCTAGTCAGTCGCCCTGTACTCCCGGGCTCTGCATCGTCATCTTCATCATCCACTTCTTCCTCGTCATCTTCCTCTTCCTCACCATCATCATCTTCTTCAACACCATCTTCTTCATCGTCACTATCCTCAATCTCGTGAACCTCCACAACATCCTCATCTTCGCCTTCTTCTTCGTCAATCTCCTCCCCCAAATCGTCTTCATCTTCATCTTCAACATCCTCCTCATCCTCATCTCCATCGTTGGAAGCAGCCACACGGAACCCGTTAGAATGGTGATGCGAACTTGATGCATTTGCAACTCTGGCAGTCTCCGTTTCCTCCTCATCGGCTTCGCTCTCTTCATCCTCGTCAACATCGAGGATGCCTTCGCCTCCAACACTTCCACCGTTGCTCATTTTTCCAGACCGATCTTCACCATCTACCTCTCCACTCCCAGGGTCATCGTCCTCGTCGTCTTCCTCATCTTCCTCCTCCTCGTCGGACTCCGGCCGCTCATTCTCCTCTGCATCCATCTTATCCAAGTACTTGAGAGACTTTATCAAGGCAAAAACCTTAGATCGGTAATCCTTGACCCGAGTGACGGGACACTCATAGAGATCGAGGGAGACAAGCCTGAGACGCGCCAGTGGGGCGAGGTCTTCGATATACTGGATTCGATTGTTGGAGAGGTCGAGGTCCCGCAAGGAGTCGAGGCCAGCTTCCACAAGGAATTCAAGACCACCGGCTATCCGATTGTCGGAGAGGTTGAGCTTCTCAAGTTTCTGAAGTCGGGGAAACTTCTCTAGAGACGATACGCCAACGTTGGCGATTGAGAGGTGCTCGAGGTTCCGAAACTTCTCTAACAAGCTTGGAGGAGGAAGACGACCCTGAACACACTTGACAGCACCATCCAGAGTGAGGGTTCGAGCCGACTCATTATCAGTTTGGCCCTCGAGCGCCGCTTCCACGGCCCTCTCCCATACCTCGTCCATTAAAAATCGAAACCCTAGATTTAAGATCGATACCGGTAACAATTTGCAGAAATCGCAGATGAAAAGAAATGATGGCAGAAATTTACATAAACCCTAGAAAGCAAACAAAGCAAGTTATCACGCCTCTGAGACACCTACCATGGTGTCCAAACCCAAAAAGACTGCAACGAAACCTAACCCTAACCCTAGATTCGAGATCGATAATGGAGATAAAATTGAAACCCAAACCCCGCCGAGTAAGTTAAAACCCTAATTTTTGAGGGGAATAGCCTTCCCTCCTTCCTCTCCTCGTCTGTGGGTGCTATTTTGCTGCCAGAGGGTGAAATCGAAAACCTTAAACGCTCTTCTTTGTTTCTCTCTCTTCTGTCTTCTCTCTCTCCTCCTTTTAAGTATGACGAGCTTAACCGCTATCGGCGATCATTCGCGGCTCGCGGTTAGGGTTCGAAGGGTTAGACCCTTTCCATCAGTTCAAGGGTTCGGACTTCGGAGAAGTTTTGTCCTTTGTGCTTTCATGGAAGTAATTCGTGGCCGTTGGATTGTATTCACGCGGATCGCTGACGTGGAGACACTTGCACGGTTCAGATTTTAGTTGGATGTGTTTGTTTTTGAGAAGGATGTGGAAAACGAGGAGAGAGAGAGAGAGAGGGTCAGAAGGGTAGGAGGGAGGAAACGCATTTCTCCTCTCCTAGTCATGTACTCATGTCCGATACGTCAACTCCCGATAAATATCGGAATGGCAAAGGTAAATGCCTCCGAACTTTCCATAAATAACAAAAATGCCAGCCATATTGGAGAAATGCCAAGCAAACAACGTGCTTACTTAATTACTGTGTGTATGGGTGATCCATTGAAAGACAAAAAGAATCTCTGGTTTTGTCTTTTAGTGCTGTGGGTCCTACATTGTCCCTAGCGCGAAACATTCAATAGTTGCATTACCTTGATGTATAATAATACAATTTTATTATATTAAAATTATATGCTTTTTAAATTTAATCAAAACAAAAACAAAAATAATATATTGATACGACTTGTAAGTGCAAGAAATGAATATGTTATATATTTAATAAATTTGGTTTAAATTATAAATTTATAATGCATTAGTTAATATTTATACGTATTAATTTGTGACGCATTAATTTTTAATAATTGATTTTTTGGTCAAAAAATACATTCATGTATAAGCATTTTATATGAATTATCTAATGTAGAGTGTAGACTTATATAAATTCAGAGGCTGTAATGGGTTCATTATATTTTGTATGTAAATGTAAATTACAATTGGTTCATTTTTATAATTTATGTAGTTTTCTTTTTCCTCCACTATAAATCATTTGCATTTGGCACCCAATTTTTTCAAGAACACTTATTTCATACTTTACAAATGGCATCTCATAGACGATTTTTTTTAAGGCATGCTTTAGAATATGAAAAATGTAAGGATACAATAGAATATGGTTAAGATATGCATGAATATATTAGGGAAAGTCATATAGAAATCCAAAAAAATGCATTAATAATGTCAAAGCAAGGCATGAATTGCCTTGAATAATAACATATTATATTTTAATAGTTTATGTGAAATGCAACTATTGGGATATATATATATATATATATATATATATATATATACTTAGGAAACATGGTGAAATGGTGGAAAAATATGATGGATATGCTGAAAAAGAAAATAAAAACAATACAAGTCTCAGTAATGCTTAAACTAATTTTAATTACCCACTAGTTTTTCCATTATTTATTTTAATTTTAGTGACAGTTGACACATACCAAGGGGCCGTTAGATATCAGTTGAATATGCTGAAATAAAAAGCTTATTCTTTTATGTTCTTGACGTTGTGAAGCTCACCGACCTCTCGAACCATTTACAAGAAGGTAATCCATGGAGAGCCAGACTTGTTTCTAGCACCAAGAAAAGGTCTCCTCCGAACAAGGTAACTACCAACCCTTCGTTACTTGGTATATTAAAGAGAGTGGATCATTAAGATGTTTGTGGAGTTTGAAGTAAGGGAGTGGACTAACAGTTCTGAAAATTTAAATGAGGAGTCCAGAGTTTTGCTTGAACATGATCCCATGGATGAGTTAAGAGACTAACAGTTGTGAAAATTTACTAGGGGTTGGATGTCTTGTAGTTGGGTGAAGGCAGATAAGATCATTTTGGGGTTTGCCCAAGTATTCTTTTTAAAATATTGGATTTTTTTTTTAAAATTAGTGTCTCCGAGCACCAATTCATATCGGTTGATACACTCGACAATATGACACCAATCAACACTCTGTGTAACAAGTGGAATTGTACAAATACTTCAATACTCTTCTACCCATGCCATGTACCAATCCCTGAAAAATCACATTACCTACACAATATGCCATGTAGTTGTTGTAACTTGTTGATGCATTGAACTTTGAATCCACTATCCCAACATTTCTGAAGTGCAACTTGGTATATCTCTTAAATTTGCATTTGAACCTTTGTCCAAAAGACACTAAAAACATTCCAAGGAGAATGTCCCAAGTACAAAGATGAGTGTCAACAGGCATCAACAGCACCAGCCACCAAGCTTTTTCTTTTTTTTTTTCAATCTTGATCCACTCAAAGAGCACCTCTTTTCTTGCGAATCAGATACATGTATGATTGTATCAATTACAAACCCTAATTTGGTAGCAATCCTAAATTGATTGGGCTAACTTCTCTTTTCAGCAAAATTACATATTTGTATTGGACCGTTCATTTAGTAATGTCCTCCCCCCTTTTTTTTTCAAATGAACATCAAAATATCCACACAACCAAAGGATGCCACAGTTCTAGGAAGCCTCCTCTAACCAAGGTCCTTTGAAAGATATTAATGTCCATTAACTTCACAACTCAACTTTCTGTTTCTCTCTTGTTTTCTATCAATCCAAACATAGCCCCAATATCAGACACAAGCGTTTATGTCCAAAATAAATCATCCATGATACTATCTATTAAAGTTTTAAGTTTCCAACCAATTTTCAGGATGACAAAGAGTTCTAATAGCCAGACGTGAATCCGACTCCAATGGAATTTTCTCACGACCTAAATATTGCTACTTTCAAGTAGGAGTGTCAGTGGACCAGTTTTAGGTTGGATGTCTCCAAAGTAAATTCAATTTGAACAGATTGGAGGGACCAATAAGACATTGAATTGGACAAGTCTATACTAAATGGTCCAAAGCATTTATTGGATTAGATTGGACCTGATCCATCCATAATTTATATTGGATTGAATTGAATTGAACCAATATATGGTCTATTGGTATTAAATAAGAATACATGTGTCAATGAACCAGGTTTGAGTTGGAACCAATCTAAATTAAAACCAAGTTAAACAGATTGGACACTCCAAACATTGAATTTGACTAATCAAAAAATGGTCTTCATATTGGGTCGCATTTAATAATTGCATCACAAGGGTTTATGGAGCCAGCAAAATACAGGATATATACCTACTTAATATTTAAGGATACATATTATATTAATGTTTTTATAGCTCAGTTGGTTAGAATACCCATTTGGTAAGCGGGAGGTCTTGAGTTCGAATCTCAATGAAACCAATTTAACAGTCGAAATTATGAAATTTTTTTTTGCAAGGTAAAAATATTATTGGAAGAATTTAATATTTCAAGAATAATTGTGTATCATTGCTTTCATAGCTCAGTTGGTTAGAGCACCCGTTTAGTAAGCGGGAGGTCTTGAGTTCAAATCTCAATGAAAGCAATTTTTTTTAGTTTGTTTCTGAAAAGAAGCTCATTGAAGTGACGAAATCTTCTTTTTTGCAGTAAAAATGGAAGAACTTAACTAGAATGTAAAAAACGGATGTTCTTCCAAACTGTGGCAAACAAGGGTTAACAAATCATCCGTTCTTCCAAACGGATGTTCTTCCAAATTTTATCAACTTCAATCACCTTTTCTCCAGCCTTAAAAGGGTTAACAAATTGTGCAACTGTTCCTGGGTATGAAATTTAAGCATGTTCAATCAACAAGACAACCAAACCTCACTTGGGCCAGCATGACTTCCCACTTTCTGCTACTGGTACTAGGGCATGAGACAATGTGGCCCAGGTTGAGCTCAGTAAGTGTTCATGAGCAAGTATAAAAAAATCCTAATGCACTACAGCTGAATTTGCAGATGATAGTTAGCTTCGACCTATCCCAGTGGAATGCCTATTAAAACCATTTCCAAACAAGGTTTCAAGACAGCTAGCTTTTTTTCTCCATTTGAGGAGTGATAGGTGATGGTGATCCAAAATGAAAACCTGCAACAAGAAACAGAAGTTAATTGTGTTCTATTTTATGGAAATTGGGTTACGGATCTGGTTATAAACCAAAACAGTGAGATAAGCAGGTTTAACTTTGTAGCCTGAAAAAAGTAGAGGTGGGGATATTTCAGTATCTTCTGTATTCAGTTTCTTGTATTGTGTTGCACCTCCTCATTGCAGAAACATCACTGCCAGCCCCATGAACTTCATATTCCACTTTCTAAGAAAAATTGAAAAATATTTGTACTCTTAGTGCATATGATTTGTGTGCAAATCATATTATATTTTTTAATCAGTTTTTGTCTTCATCAGTTTGAACAGATGGAATAAAATAAAACCTACAGCAAAGTAAAGTAAAACCCAAAGCAAAAGTTAACCAAAAGTTGCATTCTCTGCATTTGTATTAGTGCAAATGAAAATGTAGTGCAAACAAATAGAGCCTATACTTTTGTTCTTCCCAACAAGTACCAAGGTTTTGCCATTCTTTTCTTCCCAAGAAGGTCTTATAGACAATTTAATGAAGTTCTGGCGCATCCCACTAAGATATAGCACCCTTTTGATCTCCTCGTTAATTCCCAATATTAGCTGGATTTGTTAATTATATATTCCCAATTGAAATGTATATCATGGAAGCTTCTGTTGGTTGCAAGTCAAAACACATCCTCCTTGACTAGAAGACTGGAAAATGTATATCATGGAAGCTTCTGTTGGTTGCAAGTCAAAACACATCCTCCTTGACTAGAAGACTGGAGCATATAGGGACACACTGGAAACAAAGTGGCAATAAGCATGGCCATGGCCAGATATAGAGCCCAATACCTGATACCCAACTTTACCCAAATTCTTTTTTATGCCTCAAATTCATTCAGGCTTATTAGTGTCTTGATTTTTTGGAATCAATGGTTGTTATGAGTTATGACACCTTACAAAGGAAACATGCCCATGTTTAGGGAACATGGGTTCAGTCATCAATTAACAACACATACCACCTTGAGTTCTGATTTCTGAACAAGGTAATGTATCCAATTTCCCACTTACAACTACTAGTTCCACCCACAGAAAATCCAATATCACTAAAGCATGAACTAGAATGGTAGAGAAAGCTATGGAACAAAATGCCCCAGAACACAAATACCTTTATGAATTATTTGGGGATGGTGAAGGTCAATAAGTAAAAAGAAATCTAAGCAACGCCAAATTAGTTTATAACAGTAAAGTTTAATGCACATCCAGAGTAGAATGACTACTTCCAAGTCTAGACAATTTTAATAATGTTAGGTCAGCCTATATTGTTGCAGCAGTTTTTTGAGTTAACTGAAAACTTAGGTCCATGAAAAGACCATTCAAAGTACATCTGGACCCTTAATAGGTTTCATTGGTAAGCTCTCAATAATTGCAAACACAAACAACAATGAAATGGCCATGCCTTATGGGGAAATCATTATATATAGTAGGAATGAAATATTGATATATAATCTGTAATTGTTCTTTCCAGAAAGAATGATTGATCATCCAACCCCTTTAGAGTAAATTTTCTTGATTTTTTTATCTGCTTGTACTTTGGTATTCCATTTTGGTAGAATTTAAAGGGTTTGGGCCGTGAGACATTAAAAGTGATCGTCATTGAATTATGTTTATCCTTTTTCAATGTGTATCACCTCTTCTGTGCATCTGAAACCACCATTAAAAATACATCTGAATTCTTAATGGATCTCATTGGTTAGGTCTTAGTAATTGCAAACAGTCAAAACGTCAATAAAATAGTTATGCCTCTCCTCTAGGCACATGACAAATTATTACATGATGAAGCGTGAATAAAATACCAATATAATTTGTGGTTACATTTTCCACCAAGAATGACCTAGCAATCCATTTCCTGTATAGTAAAATGTCTTGATTTAACCACTTGTCTTGAACTTTAAATGTGGAAGTGATACATCTTACTGACCTACTCATACGCTGATTTCTAATAGAAACCCTTTTACATTGCCACTCAACCATCTCAAAATCTGTTTGCATGTCCACTATACTCATTTTTAGGGCATTTTGTTTCTTAACAATCCAATAGACTCTTCTGATGTAATCGTTCCTGGTCACATATCATTTTCATTTAGCTAAGTACCTCGTCATTTGGTCTGCTTCCAAGTGGCCGATGACTCAGAGGCCGAAGTGGAGCTGCATAAGTGTCGAGCTGCCTGTGAGGTGCTGGGTTGACCAGGTGTAGGGCTGCCTGTGAGGTGCCGGGCTGCCTGGTGGCGAGTTGGATTGATGAGATTCGTTGTTCTTTAGAGACCTGCAAGGGACCAAATGTCAAAGAACCTGGGGTGACTAACTCGATGAGGCCACTCCGATGCTTAAGTCAATACTCTCATAGTAGACTACGAGCTAAAAATCACAAAGTTTGAGAACTAGAACTTGCTTATTTTTTTACTCGCCCCATTGCCATTAGGGTTGGTGCATTTATATAGGCATTGTTTGGCATGGGCTTCACGCACCATATCCGAGATTTCTACGAGGTTGTCTAAGTGGTTCGAGATTCCTGGAGGTAAGCGCCATGCACGTTGACCACCCTCCAGATCGTTCGGCACGTGGGCCAACTTCCAAGGATCGTGGGAGTGTTAGGATATGCATGCCGAATTCGTCGGCGAGCACGTCTTACAAGTCGCCAGGTCGCGCCTGGGCCAGGCCGCCAGGTCGCGCCTGGGCCAGGCCGCCAGGTCGCGCCTGGGCCAGGCCGCCAGGTCGCGCCTGGGCCAGGCCGCCAGGCTGCGCCTAGTCGTGCCTGTGCTAGGCTGCCAACTCGATGCCTATGTCAGGCCGCCAGGTCGTGCCTATGCTAGGCTACCAGGCCACCAGGCCACGTCTGTGCCAGGCCGCACCAGGGCTAGGCCGCGCTTGGGCCGCCAGGTGAGACACCATCAACTTGGCTAAGGCAAGTTGTTGCCAAAGTGATTCCGAGTGTCACCTAGTTGTTCTGAGGTGCCATGTGTCACAATATCATTGGAGGGCCAAATCCGCCCTCATCATCTTCCATACAACATTGGAAAAGTTGGATGTGATAGACCTTGCCTTTCCATATTTAATGCACATTAGTTCTATATTATTGCATAACCCAATTACACCAAAATGATATCCTTTGATTTTTAAGTACCCCTAAAAGAATAAAGGAAGTGTCACCAATAGATTCTGACCAGCAAGAGAGAGAGAGAGAGAGAGAGAGAGACCCGAGCCATTAACGTTCCTTCCAGAATTGTCCAACCACAGCCATCATCACCTTTCCTGGTTGAACTATCCACCATATCTCCTTTTGCATGGTTGATGAGAGAAAGTCTACAGGGAAAAGATATTACAAACTGCGATCATTAAGACAATCAAGCCTTATTGCTTTCGCATATTACCATCAATTCAAACATCAAGTATGAAACTATGAATATACATATAAAAACTTAGATAACACTGAGATAACATGGGGTTCACCACTAGAGGCAAGGGACAAACAACAACGCTCCAAAACTTCAAGAGGTGCTTGCTCATGTCCTCGCAACTGAAGAAACTTCTTAGCAAGGTTTCAAAATGTACTTGAACCCATCTGGCTACAAAACCTATTTTGCGTCCACCAATCCACACCTAATCAAGGAGATGCATGGCCACAAAATTTTTAAAGAGAAAAGATGGAAGATAATTGGAACTGTCTCCAAGGATCCTTAGCTTCTCTCTGTGAAGAAATGAAAAACTGCATGTATTCTTTCTCGTCAGAAAAACCAAAACTTGTGAGTCCAAAAATGCTTTTCATTTCAATTACTACTCCCAGTTGATGTTATCTGCTTCTTCTTGCTTTCCATTGCTGCTTGCTTGGGACTATTTCTTGTCTTTTGAGCACTCTGAACAAACACCAGAAATCCACATCATTTTCATAAATAAGATCGTGTGAAATTTAGGTAATAGTCTATCAGATACACTGATATCAGCTATTTTATGTTATTAGGTTGCATGCTTATGTCTAACATACACCTTGGACAACCAATAGAAGTCTTAGGAAAGGGGCTGATAAGATGTTCTATATTCAATGCAAGTTACTGAGAAGAAAATGTTTGAATCAATTAACATGTTTTCAACGGGCAAGTTAGAGATACCAAAAACTTATGCACCATTTGGTGTATGTAGACACATGACTTAAAACACAGAAACTAAACTCCATGGTGGATCTTACTGTAAATGTCTAGGTTCAATTGAAATGGATTATTCCAACTACAAGGCACCCAAATTATGCATTCTTCAAGATTTAACAGAAAAAAAAAGGAAATACTGTTGACAAAAGCAGAATTAAGCTTTCACACTACAGACGCTTTCCCATGCTCAACCCCCTAACCCTTGAACCAAAAGAAGGGTTATAGCTAGGTCATCAACACAGACTGTGGTGCACATGCCTGTGGTTAGCCATTGACTCCATCCAATTGATATATATTTTCCTTTATCATTCTTTTCTTTTTATGATATTTTTTATAAGTTTCTTTTTATGAATTTTCCTTGGTGGATTAAGAGTGTGCATGTCTTCCAAATAAACATTAAGTCATTCTTTATAATGACAACTATGTTATTAATATTAAACAGAGAAATTGGATCTATATCTACTTTAGCAACTAGAATGTGTTTGATTGAAAGATCAAACCTAAACTCTAATAAAGAGTCCAATATTTAAAAGAACTGTGGTCATTCTTTCGTGCCTTAATGGTCATTCTAGTCTGGCCATTATTGATAGAAGTAGAGCAATAAGAAGCAATTGAATGATAGAATGCCAATGTAATGAAAGACTCTTAAGGCTGCATTTGGCATTCCTTATTTTAAGGACTTTTCTCCTTTTTGCAGTTAAAATGCCCCTATGAACACTGAGTTTTTAACTGTAAAAAGGAGGCAAGTCCTTAAAATAAGGAATGCCAAATGCAGCCTAAGTTGGGAATCAAAAAAAGATTAGGAGCACGACCAAATGATTAAGATGGTAATTGAGGATGAAAAACAATAGAAATAACAACAACAAATAACAATAGCAAAGGATCAATAAAGGTTTCAAGTTTGAAGCTGATTTTCCCCATTCAATTACTCTGCTTAAATTGGTTTTGCAGCAGCTCCAAAACTAAATGGATATTTCCGTTTTCAATAAGATTAATCAGAAAAAATGTGGCATCATGTGCCAAACAAGACCTCAACATGAACACTTCCCCGCCAAGACAAAAAAATTGATCTTAATAAATTTCCTTTAGATTACAGAATAAAGTTCAAAAGTCAATAGTCAAAATAGTAAAGCCAAAAACCCAAGAAAAGTTGAACTTGAAGGCTGTGATTAGTTTGAATAAAGAAAGAGAGAAACAGAAAGTTCAGAAGTAATTTCACAAATTTTGTTAAGAATCACCCATCAACTTTCTGTTTATCTCTTATTTTCTATCAAACCAAACAAAGCAGAAATATATCTCTTTGGGAAATTTATGTTCACCGCCAACAAAAAACATTAAAACAACCATCCTTGATTTGAAATTGAAAATGCAGAAACCTATGAAGAAAAAGAAGGAAATTCCGGTTTTCCTCGAAATCTCTAAATAGACCCAATATAAACCAACAATAGTATTACAGATAACTAAATCAGTTAGGAGATCCTTCCACGTGTACAGCTGTCTTGTACAAGTGGATTTGGTTACACACACACACACACACACACACACACACACATATATATATATATATCTGCCAAGATCAATGAATAAATCAATTTTTTTCTCTCTCCCAAATCTTTCTTATATTGTATCAGAGTTTCGGGCATTCACAAAGTCTGTAACACTCCGTGAAAACGATTCCCTGTTTTTTTTTTTCTGCGAACGATCCCTTGCTTTCTTTCTTTCCTCTCTTACTCCTCTGTAGAAATGGCAACAGAAACAGGTAACGGATATCCAGCCTACACAGACCTGTCTTCACCATATTTCTTGAGTGCATCAGACAGTTCAGGAATGGTTCTTGTTTCTTGCCATTAAACGGCGACAACTATGCAACCTGGAGAAGGGCCATGGTGAATGCACTTTGGGCGAAGAACAAGATTGGATTCGTCGATGCACGCTCAAGAAACTGAATGGGACAAAGACTGCAGAACTTCATGCCTGGATGAAATGCAACTCTATGGTACTTTCTTGGATTTACGATGCTTTGGCAAAAGAATTGCATGAAAGTGTGGCTTATGTAGAAAGCGCTTGAGAGATTTGGATAGATCTTGAAGAGCGGTTTTCTCAGGAGAACGCACCCCGCATCTTTCAACTGAAGCGGGAACTGGCGTTATTATGACAGGAGAATCTCTCCGTCTCCATTTATTTCACAAAATCGAAAGCAATCTGGGATGAACTTTCAATCTACACACCGGGACTGATCTGTTCATGCCCCTGTTCTTGTGGTGCTTCAAAAGATTTCCAGGTTGAAAGGGATAAAGAAAAGGTCTATCAGTTCTTGTTGGGACTTGGTGACCGCTTTAATAATATCAGATCTTACATTCTGAGTATGGAACCCCTGCCCACGGTAAGCAAAGTTTATGCCATGGTTTCATAAGATGAAAGACACCAAACATTAGTCTCACATCAAGGCTCGACCATGGAAGCAGCTGCTCTTCATGTAGCTCCATCCAAACCCAGCAACAGTAAAAGCATTAAAGACCGCCCCAAGATCAAGTGCAATCATTGCAAGAAACCTGGACACAGCAAGGACAGATGTTATGAACTGCATGGTTACCCACCTAGCTGGGAATCAAAGCGATCCGAAAGGCCTTCAATCACTGATAAGAACAAGTCAAACCCCAAACTCCCATCATCAAGTGTTCTAGGATCATAACAAAAGGTCTATGGATTAACTGCAAAACAATATCATCAACTGATGAATCTGCTAAATGGTGAGAATCAGGGAGCCTCAGCAAACTTTGCAGGTACTCTTTCTCGTTCTCAGTGGATATTAGACACAGGAGCCTCAGACCATATGGTGCCCTTTGGCTCAAGTCCTTGGGTTCCTACAACTACAAAACATATCACTACACGACCGATGCAACTACCTAATGGCACTCTGTTATTTATACAGTGCCAAGGAAATATTCCACTTACACCTGAGATTGTTTTGAAGGACACTTTGTTCATCCCAGACTTCCAATGCAACCTTATTTCTATTAGTAAACTCACGGCTAATTTGAATTGTGTGGCTATGTTTTTCCTTACTTTTTGTGCTATACAGGACCTGACCTCCAAGAAATTGATTGGAGTGGGTCTAGTCCGTGATGGTTTGTATCATTTTGTACCTCACACCGAAGTTGCAACTTCCACATCGGCTTCGTCGTCAATATCATTAGCTTCTACATCAACACATCCCTCCTCAATCCTGTGGCATTCCCGCCTAGGACATGTTTCTTACAATCGTATATCGTTGATTCCTAATTTGCAAATCACATCAACCCCAAACAAGTGTTGTGATACATGCTTACAAGCCAAGCTGACTCAACAACCCTTTCCAATAAGCATAAGTAGAGCTTCAAGCAAATTCGACCTGGTTCATTGTGACATATGGGGCGGTTATTGCACTCCATCTTTATCCGATGCCAAATATTTTCTGACAATAGTAGATGATTGTACTAAAGCCACTTAGGTTTTCTTGATGAAATGTAAGTCTGATTGCTACTTCTATTTCAAGCAATTTTGTTCTATGGTACATACTTAGTTCAATGCTCATGTCAAGTGTGTACAGTCCGATAACGGATCTGAATTTTTTTCTGGACCGATGCAAGAATATCTTATTACTAATGGTATCATGCATCAACACTCTTGTGTCGACACCCCCCAACAAAACGGGGTAGTTGAGCGTAAGCACTGGCACATTCTTGAAGTAGCAAGGGCTCTACATTTCCAAGCCAATCTACCGACTAAATTCTGGGTGAATGCATACTAACAGCAGCATACATAATAAATTACTTACCCACACCACTATTGGGTAACAAGACACCCTTTGAATTACTATTCAACAAACCACCTACTTATGAGCACTTCCGAGTTTTTGGATGTCTTTGTTATGCCAGTACTCTCAAACATGGTCGATACAAGTTTGCGCCACGGGTTGTTTCTTGTGTTTTCATTGGCTATCCAACAGGACAGAAAGGTTACCACCTATATGATCTAAGCTCTCAACAGATATTTGTCTCTCGTGATGTGGTCTTCTTTGAGAACAAGTTCCCATTTACAGTTCAGTCCACTAGCATTGACACCTCACCAGTGATTCCTCGTTCAGCCATGGATATTGGTGCTCATTTCCTCGTAAATCAAACTAAGGCAATGGTTACCACCACTCTACCCAAAGAGGGCACCTTCTCTTCACCTCCCACTAATCCTTTGCAGCCCATCATTTCTGATGATAGTCCCTCAACCAGCTCAAGTCAAGATGGCTCGCCTAGTGTGCAATCTGAACCTCCCATACAAGTTACCACAACACGACCCACTCGGACCAAACGTCCACCTCCTCACTTAGCTTATTTTCACTGTCCTACCATCAAACCCACCATTGACTACACTTCAAATTCCAATCCTCCTTCCACTACTCATCCCATATCTCATTGTATTACCATGGATCCCACATCTGCCTTCACCACTACACTTCTAGACTCACCAACTGAACCCACAACTTACATTCAGGCCAACAAACTTGCTTGTTGGTGCCAAGCCATGGCAACGGAACTTGCAGCTCTAGAAAGAACACAAACCTGGACTTTAACACCTCTTCCACCAGGTAAAGTTCCTATTGATTGACAGTGGGTGTACAAAATTAAACGAAAGCCTGATGGTTCAGTTCAGCGCTACAAAGCACGTCTAGTAGCCAAAGGTTATACTCAAATGGCTGGGGTGGACTACGATGAAACCTTTGCACCTGTAGCTAAATTTACTATTGTGCGGTGCTTGTTAGCCTTGGCGGCTGCCCGAGATTGGGAACTTCACCAAATGGACGTGGACAATGCTTTCCTCCATGGAAAATTGCACGAAGAAGTCTATATGACCCCTCCTCCCGGCTTACTTCCAACAAGAGATAATCGCGTTTGTTGACTCAACAAGTCCATTTACAGTCTCAAACAAGCCTCATGTAACTGGTTTGAGATCCTTACAAATGCACTCAAACAACGGGGATTCACTCAATCATCGGCTGATCATTCACTCTTTACATACATTCGGCCTGGTAGCTTCTTGGCCATTCTTGCTTATGTTGATGACTTGGTTATTGTTGAAAATGATCTATCTTGGACTACTGCGCTCAAAGAATATCTCCATAATTGTTTTCCCATCAAGGACCTTGGCACACTATGGTATTTTCTAGCGATAGAAGTCTCTCGAGACTCTAATGGCATTTTCTTGAGTCAGCACAAATATATTTTGGATATCCTCAAAAATTGTGGCATGTTGGGATGCAGACCCAGTGCTTTTCCCTTAGAGCAACAACATCGTCTTGGACAAGATGCTGGTCCACCAATTAAATGTCCCCACCAATATAGAAGACTAATTGGCCGTCTCATTTATTTGACGATCACTCGTCCAGAGATAACATATGCAGTTCACATCTTGAGCCAGTTCATGGGAGACCCACGCCAACAACACTGGGATGCTGCCATGCATGTCTTGCGATACCTTAAGGGATCCCCTGAGCATGGTATTCTGCTACCTGCCAACTGTGATTTTCAGTTGCGAGCCTATTGTGGTTCTGATTGGGCAGGGTGCCCTTCTACCCAGAAATCAACATCTGGTTACTTCACCACTCTTGGTTCTTCACCATTATCACAATCTACTGTTGCCTACTCATCAGCTAAAGCTGAGTATTGGTCCATGGCAGCTGCAACTGCTGAGTTTCTATGGCTTAAATGCCTCTTTTCAGATCTTGGTCTCCCTCATCCTCAGCCCATGCGATTATTCTGTGATAACAAAGCTGCTCTTCATATTGCCTGTGTTTCATGAAAGAACGAAACACGTGGAGATCGGCTGTCATTTCATACGTGAGAAGTTGCTCTCCAAGATCATTGCTACAGCACACATTTCATCATCCATACAACCGGCTGATATTCTTACCTGTCATTGGCCGTGACAGGTTCCTCTCCTTACTTCCCAAGTTGGGCATCCGTCATCCTCATTCTCCAACCTGAGGGAGCGTATCAGTTAGGAGATTCTTCCACGTGTACAGTTGTATTGTACAAGTGGACTTAGTTATATATATATATACTGCCGAGATCAATGAATAAATCAATTTTTTTCTCTCTCCCAAATCTTTCTTATAAATAGTATGAACAAGTTACTGCAAACAACAGGAGCTAATCGACATTCCAACAGGCTAAGTTCAACATCCAGGCATAAATTTCCAAAAAGGGAAGCTTAAAAGCTCTCAAGAGGAAGGTGAAGAAAAGGAAAGCAAACAAAGACAAGATACGGACCGCTGATTGGACAGGAGGTGGTTCGAAATCAATGGAGCGCATGGACATCTTAGCGATCTCAGAGATGGCAGCGTCTCTGACACCAGGTAGATCACTGACCAAATCCTCATACGCAGCCTCAAAGGCCTCCTGCCAGAACCGCGGTAGCTGGATCCGACGGCTGTGAGTGTAGACATCCCACATGTGCTTCACTACCTTTTCCCTCTCCTCTACTTCCTGTGTCGCCGGCAAGTTAGTCAGATTTCAGACCAAGATCCAATAATTTGGGGCATGCACATGCAAATTTAGAATGAATAAAAGAAATTCGAAGGAGGATGTAAAGCGTACCAGGACGTCGAGATCGTCGAGGATTGGAGTGTTGAGGTGGTCGGAGAGACGATTTAGGTTACTGGCGGACCATTTGAGGGTAACAGTTCCAGTGAACATAGACCAGAACGCGAGAAGTAGAATAGCGGCTAAGGCCCAGAACTTGTACCTCCCCTTACCAAAAAGGCTAGCGTCGCCGCTGCTGTTATCCTTCTTCGTCGTCGGTGACGGTGCATCGTCGTCCTTCATTTCCTATTGAGAGCGATTTACCAAGTAAATTCTGAGCTATAACGAGAGAGAGAGAGAATGAGCGGGTGTCTGTGTTTTAAAGATTTTCGTTGGATTTTCTTTTCGGAGTCTTCGGACTCCAAAGCGGTTTGGTGTTACACTTCTACTTCCGTGTAAGGGAGAAAGATCAGATACAGCTCTCCTACTAAATTAAAATAAAAACCTCTGCATCCGTCATTAAATAGTTGATCACTATTGAACCTGAAAATGCATCAACGGTGCAAGGCAATAGGGCTACGAAAGCGATTGATGCAAAGCAATAGGTCTACGAAACCCACATCAGTAACGGAACGGGATCTGCTCCTCACAGATGAACACAAACACATTCACCGTGCATTGAGAATATCTCTCATATCTCTCGTGAATAATAACTTAAATGCATGGATGTGCGTGTAAAGTCAGTGTGAGGCGTTTTGTGAACAGATCCGGTCTCGTCAGTAACTGATAATCCTTTTTTTAGTCACGGCTAAACTGGTAAGTGGTAACAATCAATTCGTGATTGTGGGTTCCCATAGAATGCTCCCCACGACCGATCCCCGTTTTATGGGGAGATGTTCGCAATTCACGGAGGGGATGGGTTGTGGGGCGCGTGTGGGGTACGCTCTGTAGGGAGCCCATCCCGTCCTGATAATAATATGGATCGAGGGAGTCCGGATATCCCATCCACGACAACTCTTACCCATACACAAATGGAAAACATCTCATCTCATTACATATTATTAACGGGGAGATGTTTCCGATGTTTCTTCTAAGTAGGAAATTCAGTAGCTGCAATTTAGGAGGGTAGAGTGTGGGTATAGAGCAGTGGGCAGGAAATTCAGTTTAGACCAAGATTTTAAAAATTGACTCAGAAATGGAATCGTTGTGGCCATTGATTTTCAAGTTAGTGATTTGATTATTCGGGTCGAAAGGGTCGAATGGTTTGGATTATTAGGGCAAATATTGTTACCTATTTTTAGATTTTTGGTCTTGTATGAGAAAAGAAAGAATGGTTGTCAGGGGTGGCCACGAGCTGGGCTCTTCATGAGCTATTTGACCTTGGCTCGGTTTCAACCGAGCTTCGAGCCGAGTTTGAGTCTAATAAAGCTTGGCTCGTGAGCCGAGCTCGAATAGCTACATATAATAATAATAATAATAATAATAATAATAATAATAATAATAATAATAATAATAATAATAATAATAAATTATAGAAAAATAGTATATATAATAAAAATATTGTATATATAATATTTTTATTTTTATATATAATAATAACTAATTATTATAATTCTTAATTTTTAAAATATCAAATAAAAATATTTTTATATATAATTTTTTTATTTTTATAAAAAAAAATTCTCAAGTCGAGCTCGAGCCGAGCCAAGCTCAAGCTTACGAGCTTTTGACTCAAGTCGAGAACAAGCTTGATTCTTGTACTACCTTGACGAGCCGTGTTTGAATAGCTAGCTATTCGGCTCAGCTCGAATCCACCCTTAGTTGTCAACTGAGAAAGAAATAAGAAAAGAAGGAAAGAAAGAAAGAAAAGAATGAAAGGAAAAAGAGAAAGGAAAAAATGAAAGAAAAGAAGGAAGGAGGGAAGGAGGGAAGAAGGAAGAGGAGGAGGAGGAGGATTCATCATTCACTGGCAACGATGATGGTGACGGTGACAGCGAGGCGGCAGCAATAGAAATGTAGATCTCATATTTGAGATCTGAGATTTGACAAATGAGATTTCTTCTTCTTCTTCTTCTCTATTGTATCTAGGATCTAGTGATCTCAAGTCCAAGATTGTTCTATCCCCTTTCATCAAACCAATGAAACTGACCCAACTTGACCTGAGTTGGTCGATTTCTAGTATTTTCGATTGGCTTTGGTCCAATAATTTCCCTACCCAACCAAGTTGGATCAATTTCGGTTATATATATATATATTTTAATACGGGAAAGTGAGAAAATTCTCATATTCCTTAGGATAATTTTTTATATCATTAATTTATTTTTTTAATAATAGCAATATTTTTTAATTAAAATTTAATTTATAAGCTTAAATCTTTTGAGCTAACCGACTAAATTGAAAACTGATCCAAATTGATGCAATTCAAATTGGCTAGATTTTACTAATGGTTAGTTAGTTTCAGGTGACCAACTCTTCAACCTGATCAAGTCGATTCGGTTGGCCAAAAAGCCTGCAACCGAACCAAACCAACCTATGAACACTCTTAATTTTAGTTAGATTAATAGTTTAATCTCTAATATTTTTGTTAAATAGCAAAACAAAAATAGATTTATACATAATTATTAGAAATATATTTATCACAAAAAGTAGTAAATAATTATTGAAAATACAATAAATATTAATTATAGTATATGTAAATATATAATAAATATAGATTAAGATTTTGGAATTATTATTAATAAATATTAATGTTTTTGAAAATTATTTTCTAGATTATTAATCAATAATTTATACTATAATTACATAATTTCATTATTAATTTTGTAAAATACTCAATTATTATTAATTTGAATGTTATGAAATCTATTATAATTATTTTTCTACTTTTAAGAAAAATATTCAATTGTTTAAATATTTAAATAATAAGTAAAATATTTAAATATTTTTTTTATTTAATTTTATTTATTAAATTTCTTAAACTACCACCAAGTTTTAGGAATTGACTCTCTCTCTACCCCTATTGTTTACATATGTCTTATAGTACCCTTAAGTTTTCTGACAATTGACTAAATCCTCCCCTGCCGTTAGCATTCCATTAGAATCCATTCACAAGTGACACCACTTGACATGCAGATTTTTTAAAACCCAATATTACCCTTTAGTGGTCAATTTTGTCCTCCTTTCTTCAAATTTTGAAAATAAAACTCAACATCTTTCTCTAATTATCAAACTACAATGTCATATATCTCTAAAACACACCATCCCTTACCATCACTAATTATTGGCATGGAAGTAGATGATGATCCCTTCCTCAAAATTCAATAAAATCCAATTGATGAAAACCTCAAAAACCTTATCCTTCCTCCATGCAAGCACCCGCAACAAGGGACAAATTTCGATGATTTCTTAGTGGGACCTTAGTGAAAATGCTTTCCAGAAAATCACTACAAAGCATCACAACAATTGGGACTGGAAGGAAACATCATAAAACATTCAAGAATTTTTAGGCTTCTGAGTTTTGCAATCAATTCCGTCGAACTTAGAGCTTGTTCGTTTGCTTTGAAGTCTGACATCTGAAAGTGCAATAATTACATTAAGGCCTCATTCGCTTTTCGGTAAGTTACTTACCCGGGTAAATGCACTTAGCTAGGTAAGTGTTTCCCAAGAAAGACTTACCCAGGTAAGTGCATTTACCCATGTTCTTTTATTTTTCATGTAAATAAGGTAATGGTCATTTTAGCCATACAAATCTATTATTAAAAGGGGTATTTTTGTCCCATTCAAGTATTGACAACTTACAACTTTCCACCTAGGTGGGAAAGTTATTTACCCACCCAAGAGATGGGTATCACTTACCCAGGAAAATAAACTTTCCCTTGTCCCCACATAAATCTGATAAAAGAGTATGGATTTCTTGGTTAACGGGAATCAAAATCCCATTGACCAACTTTGCCCCCTCTCAAAATCCAAAAAAAGAACACCCCCTAAGAGGTATATTGGCATTGGTGAACTTTTCTTTACTTTGAACTCTGAGTGCAGAGAGAATGTTGTTGTTATGAATTTTGAATTCTGAATTCTGAAAATTATCAAATATCAATCTTGACCCCATATATAAAAATTTTTGTTTATCTTTTTGGGGGTATCATTGAAAAACAAAATGTTATATGATTGCACTTTAAAAAATAAGAGATAAGAGGAAATTAACACCAAATTTTCTCTAAACCAATAGGCTCTTACTTTTTGGCAATTGAGCAATAAATTTTGCTGTGTGCAATGTAAGAACCTTTGTGGGATGCTTTTAACTGTCCCTTATCCATATCCCAACAACATGATTTTATTTGTTCATGAATTCTTGTGGGAGAAGCATTAACTAACATGAACACAACAGAGGTCACTCGTCTTGTAAATGAGTTTGTTTGAATAAGGAACGGTCTCTCCACATTTAAGAATCACATCCGTGACTTTCTTGTGCAGTCAAAAGAGTTCTCAGCTCAGGATAACAAAGTTCACTATGCTGAAGAAGTAGCAACTCAGATAGAGAGACAGAGAAGATGCTTACTATACCAGGTGGACTCATAGCTGACACAGTGATCTACCAAAGTGCTAACCCATTTGTCTTCCTCCAAAATCTCAAGGGGTTCCAGGTTTTCTATGGAGGTGACCGGATTGACATCCTTCAATTTCAATTTTCTTTTCCCCAATTTTTCTGGGTAGATTGGTGGATCGTGAAGGAACAAGGGTTGTCTGCGCTACTGTTGAATCCGTTTTTGTTTGACTATTGGAGGCATTACATATCTAGTGATGTCCCAATCATTTGAAATGCCTCTTTAGACGATTGGTGATTCAACATACTTTTACTGTATACTAACTCAGTGGGGGTTGCAGAAATGGTTCTGTTTCTGCTAAAAGCTATTGTATTTTGTGACTTTTGTCAATGATTGAAGAGCTTCATTTTTTTCTCCGTAAAACAAAAAAAAAAAGTATGAATTGCAGCGAAGGGAATCTGTTAATTGAGTCAAATACTTCTCCAAGGCCACCCGCCTCTGTTCCACGAATTCCTGTTTATGCTTGATCTTCATAGAATCCAATCAAACTTAAAATAATTCAACATTCAACATTTATCATCATCTAAGCTGTCCAAAGGGTCCACTACATTAATCCTGTTTCACCACTCCATTCTGTTGAATGCCATATCCATTGTTAAATCATGAGCCCTTAAATCAGTTTTTAATTTTTACCATTTCAACTCATGTCATTAGACCTGTTCACGGGCTGGGCCAGGCTGGGCTTTGCCTTTTTATAAACAGAAAATGATCAGGCATGAGCCTGAGCCCAACCCTATACAAAACGCCCAAAGCACGGGCCCGAGCCTGAAGCCCAATCTGGACAGATATTTTATAATATATTATATATTATATGATATTTCATATATTATATAATATAAAAAATATTATATAATGCATTTTCTGCTACTAATATTATTATAACATAATATTATAAAATATATGTTATATTTTTTTTATTATGTATACAGTATTATCATGTTGGGCTCGGGCTAGGCTTATTCGGGAAAGCCCAAGAGCCTGAGCCCGAGTATGCGGGCTTAAAAGTTTTTCCATGCCTGACATAGAACGGGCTGGGCCAGGCCAGCCCATCAGGCTACCCGGCCCATGAACAAGTCTACATGTCATTTTTGTCTGGCCCTAGCTCTTCTAGACCCTTGAATTTGTAACATATCACATCTTCTTACTATGAAGTTTGACTTGTAAAATGGCCACAATTTCTCATAAAATATCAAATTTACAAGATCTTGGTCTCATTGGATGGGTAACTAAGAAACCTACCTAATGGCACCAAAATTAGGGGTTAACTGACTTGAAGAATTTACACAAATGCTCAACCTAAGCCTGCCAAATTGCAACACTAACCAAAATAAAGTTGAATGTGCAAGTTTTGACTACTTAATTTTGGACAGTAAGAAAAGCAACATAATTAAACTTTTTATATTAGTGTATCATGATTACAACCTTCATTTTCAAAATTCTAAAAGCTCTCTAATGAGACTCTTTAAAGGAATTTGACCTTTCAAGACAATTAAACTTCTTCATACGAGACCAACAAACTGCAAAATATTCTTAGAAGACTCCTGACCAAAAACATCAGATAAAAATAATGAAATTGCTGCTTGGAGAAACTTGAATTCTTCTTCAATGGTCCTTTTCTCTTTTTCCACCTCTACATCACTAACATCCCTTGACAATGGGGATGATGATGAACAATAGCAATATGAAGTAGTAACATCTGGATGCAGCAAATGACTGACAAGCTAGATCCCTCCATGCATATACATAACATAACATAATATAGAGAGAAAGATAATCACCTTGTTGAGAAGCTTACCTAGTGGGCTGCATCTTCAGAAAATCTGGCATCAAAAGGAACAGAAGAATGGGAATGAGAAGCAGTGGAAGCATCAGTTCCAGAACTCGGCAGGAGTTCAATCACAAGCCACCTGACTGCTTTGCTCATCTGCTCCAACCGAACTGCACTAATAGGAGGTAGACTGGTGGTGGTGGTTTGCCCAGGCTTCAGTGGACCCGATCCTGTAGCCTCATCCACCAAGCATTCTGAGCCTATTCTTTGCTTTACAGACTCCACAAACTCCTCCACTTGATCACAAGCCACTCTAAACAATTCCCAGCACTGCTTAAAATTCTCTAGAGCAGCATCAGTGGTAGCTGTTCTCAGACCACTGGAATTATCCTTGGCTTCAAGCACACCAGCTGCTGCAGCAATAAAATCCTGATATGCACTATTTAGAGAATTTATCATGCTATCCATCATGAGATTCCTAGAAATGTGAATTTGGGGTTGAATTACACACAATATTCTGCAAAACACAAATTCATCAAAAAAAAAAAAAAGATATTCTGCAAAACACAAATACAAGTTGCATCAGCCTTTTTTTTTTTTTGTTTCTAAGAAACAGGTTCTGTTGGCTCCGATCTACATAATGATATGATTTAAGCTAACAACCACAAAACACTCTATCAGCTAAACCATATAATATGTAAAAAACAACTTGACAAGTCAAAAGTTGCAACAATTTAATTATTAAACTAAGCAGATATAATCTTGACTTATAATATATTCTACTGAAGGAATTATATAATCAATGGACTTGCATTAACTCATAAGATAATTGGCTTATACACTATAAAAAGCAAGCAGGCAACTAGATAAATCATTAAAAAAGATGCACTTTAAGTAACAATATCCTTCCAAAATCTCATTAATCAAGGTGAAATTTGTTTTTTTTTTTTTTGGTGGCTTCCTTCCCCAAGATAAAGTAACAAATATCCTGAGATAGTTTGAACTTGCAAGTATAGGAGGAAGATCAAAATAACTTGAACATCAGGGATTCAGGATGAAAAATAGAGAATGAAATGACTCATAAAACAGGGAAAAGGGGGGAGAGCAAATTGAAGTACAAGAGAAGTAGAAAATATGTACTTTGTTCTCCAATGCATAGTTTCCTAACTTCCTATAGGAGCACATCATGAAAAAGTAATAAGGAACAGTGCCTAAATGAACCTAGGTGCAATGGGTTATACTTCTAGAATTTACACTTATTCATAATCTGCTTCATTGTCATAATTGAGCATTTATACTTCTAGTGTGTATAAAAAGGCCATTACCCAATGTTGATCCCAGCTATGGGAGGGGTAGACTGGACATAGTCCTATCCTTTGGTATTTTTTTGCACAAAGTGGCCATACACAGACTCGAACCTGCATTCTCACTCTCACTAGCCCAAGACTTTAACACTACACCAAGTAATGGCCCCCCTATGCTTGTAGTCTGTATGTTCTTCAAAAGCTGTTCCCCTTTTCTTTTGGTAGATGAAGTTAGGGATAGTCTTTATAGTACAATACTAGAGAAGGTTAGGAGCCTAAGAAATTAGTTTCCTCATTTCACACAAAAAAAAACCAATAATAGGATTTTCAATTTTGCCTGTCTCTTAACTTTCTCATTTGTGTTGCTTTCAATTTCAAAATATGGAGAGGTCATGGACTTGCTCATCCTTGTTGATAATCATTGTACATTAGATCCCTAACCCTTGCAAGCATTCACAGTTTTAGATTAACTACTCAGATGGGAGTTGGATGATAACTTGCCAACATTGTATAGATGGGTAAAATCCTTCTTGTACTAATAGGCAGTTGGAGTTCCAGCCTGTTAAAAAAAATCCTTAATTACAAATTTAATAAATTCCTTTTGCTGAACCAACCTGAATTATATGTTTAATGGTAATAACAACCAAAGATGCAACGGGAACTTATTTTTCAGAACACTATCTCCCTTTTACAGCCAATCATCAATATAGATGAAACACTTGGTTTAGGAAGGATAACACCAATAAGCTACATCTTTTACTTTATATATCTTTTAATTATAATAAGCATGATCAATTAGATTTAACTGACCATGAATAAAAAGAAAGATGCCCCCATTTGTCTGAGAAACTTAAATGAGGGGATGAGAACCAGGTCCTAGCACCAATTACATCATACACAAGCAGGCCCAGGCTTAAGGGCTCTAAGACATCTATGCTCTTCTTGCTTCCTCTCTGGATAATCCATCCGCATTAGATTTGTTTATCTTGGTATCCATTTGAACATGCTATTCATGCTGGATAACAGGAATTTTGCTTCTATAATAAAGTTCATCTTCAATAGTAATATAAAATTCATTAAAAGAAAAAAGTATAACAGTGTATACAGGCTTTGCAAACCAAGCAATAAAAAACACATCACCTGCATACAGCCCAAAAACAAACAGACTGAGATAGACCTGAAAGCAAAGAGATTCAAATCAATCAGCCATAACATCAGACAAATAGTAAAAGATCACCACCTAAATATATTTAAAGCAAATCCAGGCCCCTAGTTTTAAGGCTCAACAAATGACATAATAGTAAAAACATACAATGACAAAATGCATAAGCAAACCAGCCAAATCCATCAAAACCCAAAAATACATCAGCACTTAACTATTAAATTAGCCAAACTAACTGAAACCCTTACAAAAACTTTTCAAATTCGAAAAGAAACCAACCCTCATTCTCAGTCTGATAATTCATCTAAGTCATCCAAGAAATCCTGATCTAACAATGCTCTAGATTTTCCTGATCAAACTCCAAACTTGTTAGCTCATTCCCTAACTTCAAGTTCCATAAACATTTTTTCTAGCAAACTCCTCCCCTCTCAGAAAGAGTAAAGCCAAATTTCTGCTGACTTGATCTTCCTTCTCAATTACACTCTCAAGATCCAAATTCCTTCCATCTGCTGAACCTCTCTAAACTGAAGTACTGAATTCACTCCATAATACTTACTCTAATCCTTCAAACCTTCTAAACAAGAGTTGTTGTCCAAAACACATGAATTAGTTTCCAAGTCCTCTTCTTCATAAAGCCTCTTCTTAGAACCCAATTCAGAACCTTCTTCAACCTCAGCCCCTGACTGCACTTCTGTAGAGTCTCTATCCAAATTAGAGTCCGAAGCATAGATCTCCAAATTTGAACTCAAGCTGACAATGGGCATCTCAGGAATATGAGGACATTTTAACACCCATTCTCTTATAGACCTTTTTAAAAGGCCTTACATGGACCAGCTCCACGAGCCATTTGTCAATTGAGAGAAGACCTTAGAGACATAGACTAAGTGAGCCACGAGCATTTTTGGAGTTCTTAAACCTTTTGGTGCAGTTTACCTTCTTCTCCTTGGTTATCAAGCCATCTAAAATAGAGGCCAAAGACTCTAAGACCATACTGGAATCTTGAATATCAGTCCTGAACCGACCTAAATCCACGCCCATTGTGCTTCTATTGACCTCTCAAGTTTGACCTCTTCCTATTCAATCATTTTGCCACCTCCCTCCATCAAACAGCTCTTCCTGCTTTGCTTTGACCAGTTTCTGACTGTGCCCAATCACATCCTTCCTCTTAGACCCTGTTTCAATTACTTCCAAACAACTTGTCATGATACCAACATCGTCTTGAACCCTGCTGTCTCCTCTATGAACGATCAAACACCCAGACAAACATGCAACCATGCTCCTTTCTTCTTCCACCAACACCCGCCCAGACCTCATCTCAGCGACCACCAAATCTTTCTTCAAAAGTGACTGTTCTGAAGAATCAGACTGTAGATGAGATAGAAACAACTCTCAAGATCTCCAAATTGCCCCCCCCCCATCATTGAGCTTCTTATGCGACCAGAATGAGGCATCAACTTCAAAGGCAGTATCTACGCCAAATATAACCCCCAGATACCGGGTCTAGTTTCATAACATTGATGAAGAATACATGGACTTCAGATGATTCAGTCCGGAAGACTAGAAACACAATTTGGATATGTTTTGTTTAATAAATCAACGAATACACTGAGTCATAAAAATGTTTCCAATAAATTAAGAAAACACTGGTGTTCGATTATATAGAAACGGGCCATTAAAAAGAAATTCTTTGACCTTTAACACCTGACTAAAATCGAGATTACAGGCGACAAAGATTGGAGCTTGGAGCCTTGGACGTCCTGCCCTTCGGTTATGAAGAACCGTTGTCGTGAATGTTTCTCTCCTAGAGCCCGATCAATCAATTCAACGTCAACAAAGTTGCAAAGATTAGGGATTGAAGGATCTGTTCTGAACCAGAAAACCAAAGAATTAGGGGGAATAAGAACATACATACCTCTTCGATCTCCTTCTCGCCTTCTTCTCACGTTCTTATCAACCAGCGGTGGGTCACTCTGGGAGGTGACGATGGTGTGGAAAGAAAACTTCCACTCAGCAAAACGGAAGAAGAAGAAAAATGGCGCTGCAACTGCAATTAGACTTTAAATATACCTTCCCAGTTCCCACCATTAGTTTGGACGGTTTTGAACGAAAAGACAACTTTACCCTTCGTTAAAACGTGAAACGGGGTCGTCTTCTACGTTGAGACACAACCCTGTAAATTGACTTTAGATTCACAAGAGATTGCAAATTGTCTTCTACCTTGCGGAGATCTTGGACTTAGAAGAGCTTGGAGAAGTCACCTGGAATTCATTTTGGCATTCAAATTATTGCAGAATTCTCTTGTAACAAAGATATCCAGCTGTCGTGGGGTTGTCTTCTACCTTACGGAGACTGCAAATTGTCTTCTACCTTGTCTTCGTATCAACGAACCAGACTGCTATTATTTCCTTATACAACTAGATATCATTAGGGTTGCATTTGCAGAGCTTTTTGTCTTCAAGGTAGAAGACAACCCCAATGCCTTGGTGAGGACGATTTCTTAATTTGAACCCCAATTCCAGTTACGGGCTAGTTGCCGGTTGCCACCCTACAAATTCCGAGAGATTTCCTCCAGACGTGAAAATTGAAATGGGCTTCCAAGAGATCGCCGGAAGATTCCTCCGTTTTGCCTTCAGTTTTGAACCCCCATGCTCAATTTCTGATGCTGTTGGAACTTGGAATCGAGGTGGACCGGATAAATTTGGATGAGTTGGATCCGATTATTTGCACACACAAGGCAAATTAGAAGAATAAAACGTAGCTGAATACTTGTTGGGGGAGCTAGAATGCAAGAGTGCCGTACTTCTTAGAGGAAGCAAAAGAGTTAGAAATTTAGAGTGCATGCAAGAGTGCGTAGAGAAGAGCATTTTGATACAGTTTGCTACTTTGCTTAATGAGGTTTCACAGTTCACAACTTCTCACGATAATAAAAAAAATATGGAAAGTTTTCCGATTAATATGCTGTATTTTGTACCTAATGCCACTTTGGTCTCGAGCTTTATTTGACAATTCAATACCTGCTGTTAACAAATTATTAATCAACCCTTAAGTACGATTTAAAAAAGACATAAATGTTTTTTAAATATTATTTAATATTTTTTATCAATTATTCAAATATTAATAAAAAATTAAAAATTTCAAATTCTTAATAACTCTTCAATTCAGTAAAATTGGAATCACCAGAATACTCAGAATTGAACAAAAGAATAAAGAGAGAGAATTGATTGTTATTGCAAGCCTTTAGTCACGCTGCACTGATCACGGACTCACACGATAAGCCTTGAATCACTTGAATCACCATTCACCGATGAGAGATGATGTCCCATGCGAATGATGTCATAGCATTGGGACTCTAATATTCGAGATTTGAGTCTTTACTTGCTAAAAAGTATGAAGTTAAAATGTTCGACAATTCAGTATTCGAACTTTTAAAGCGTAATTAACCGGTATGTATTGTTAACCAGTTGTTAATGAATCGTTAAGTAATATTTTAAAAAGATATAAATGTCTTTTGAGTGTTATTTAATTTTTTTATTAATTATCTAAATATTGAAAAAAATTTAATAGTTCTAAATCTTTGCCTCTTTTATCTAAAAAAACTATGATTATCAGAATGTCCACTCAAACCTAATTCTAATTTTTTTGAATAGAAAAGGCAAAGATTTGGGATTGTTAATTTTTTATCAATGCTTAGATGGTTGATAAAGAAAATTAAATGACACTTGAAAGGTATTTGTGTCATTTTCAAATGTGTGGATTGGAAGCAGCATTTTCTAAAGTAACGGTGTCTTTTTTATTTTGTTTGGAAACATTGCTGCCAGGTAGGACGTTTACTGGGGCAACAACAACACCTTATGTTTAGTATCAGTGCTTCATTATCCGTTTTCAGCACTAGTACCCATTATAGGAAGTCCACGTCACTGCCATATCATGTCCTCGTTGGTAGCAACGAGCTCCAAATTGAGAAAACGTCGAATTCAGCGTTTCCTCAGACCATGCCTTCTCAATTTCCAAGGCATGGTTTGGAGCACCGTTTTTTATGGAAAAATAGTTCCAAACATGTTATCATTTTCTGGAGTACCATTTTTTCAACATGGTGCTAATGTGTTATCGTTTTCTGGAGCAATGGCATTGATGCCAAACACTGCCTAAATGGAAAGTTAACTGTTGATTAATGGTAGATATTGAATTATCATGTTTTGAAAATTCAGATATTGAATTGTCACATTTTAAAGTTTGAGTACCAAATTGACACTAGGCACAAAGCACATGGTACTAATCGGGACTTTTCCCTAAATAGTAAACCCAGTGAGATGGAATAAAGTAAACCACTATGTAATTTTTTGTACTTGTCTTTGAATTTAATGGTGACTTGCAAATCATTGATCGAGTCGAACGGTTTAATGTTTCAATCATCTGGGCTAATGGTTTTCCAACTTTTTCAACATTTTTTTTCGCAAATAACAGTTTAAGACATAACCAGACCCGGAACCATGACTGTTTTTCGATTTGAAGGGTCCGGTCGTTCGATCCGGTCTAGTTTTGAAAACAGTGGTTGGAGAAGTGTCGTTGTGCTCTTTGTGAATGGGACGCATGTTGGCCTTTAAAGTAGTTAATGGTTGAGCCATTAGAGGCATGAGTTTCATGCCATGGGACGAGGAATTTGGGGGCATTGGTGTTGACCTTAGCAGAGTTCGAACTCCGTTGGTATTTACCTTGTGCCCTTATATCATCTAAGACCTACAGTATTTGCCAACATCGACCCATAGGTTGTATGGGAATGCACCACATTATAGGGCTGCAAGTCGGGTCGGGTTAGGTCGGGTTGAGGCCAACCCTAGCCCAACCCTAAGTGCTAAACTCCAACCCAACCAACCCAACCCTAACCCTAACCCTAACCCTAACTAAATTCCTTCAACCCTAACTCAACCCAACCCAACCCAAAGTCAATTTCGGGTTGGGTTGGGATCGTGTTGGGCCCAACCCAACCTTATTTCCATCCTTAAAAACCTCATAGAATTTCTCGGTTTTAGATCTTAACTTAACTTTTACTACATATATATTAATCCTATGTTTCATTTGTATTTGTTTGCTGATGTTATTTTTTTGTTCTTTTAGTACAAAATTTAAAAAAAAAAAAAAAACAAGTGTTAGAAATGACTATAGTTTATTATGAGTTATGACTTACGATGAATCATTCTTGGGTGACAAACAACATAGAGGAGATGAAAAATAAAATTAAAAAAAAAACATGAAATAATATTATTAAGGTTTTAGTCTTTTTGGTTAGGATTAAGTGAAGTGATTATCTTAAAAGAAAGGGTAAAATACAAAAACCTCCCCTGAAGTTTCTGACAATCATAAAAGCTTCCCCTTTAGTTTCACATTAACAAAATCCTCCCTTGAAATTTTAAAGAATTCAACAAAAACCTTCCTTCCATCACAAAATCCTCCCCTAAATTTTCTAAATACCCATTTTACCCTAGCCAAATCGACAGCAACACATCCAAAACGGCGAACGTCCATCTCTCACCATTAAATCTAACGACGCTATTTGTCATCAACCACGGTTTGATCAGACAATTCACCATTCCGAGACATGGACTCTGGTATCGGTGTTGACACATGCTTCAGTGCCTTGGGAGACTCAGCAACCATAGGCGCTAGTGTTGGAACCAGCGTTGGCATTGGCATTGGCGAAGCCTTGAATAACTCCTTGAGTAACAACACTTTGTCAATAGTGTAAATTGCTAGAGGATGCTGGTCTAGCAACGTCCTCGTTATCTTGGCTGTCATGATCTTCTCCAATTTTACCAACTCGTGCGTCATTCTGAATTGTGGAATCATACTTATTGGCACCATCTATTGCTAACGTGTTCACAACTCCGTTGTTCGACCTCAACATTTCCATGGAATGGTAAACAGGAATTCCGTGATACAACAACAACAAATTCTTTCCATCCATTGTTAGGTTCTTGTATTTTGGCATGAAGTCCTGAAACACCTGGTCAGTGGGGCAGAATACCGTTAACCCTCCTTCAATGTTGTTGTCAAATGTCTTCTTAGCTTCGGAAGCCACTAGCGTATCCGCGAAAACCTTACAACCTCGCTTTGACATTAGAGATGTGAGGTTTAACTGGCTGGGGCCCAGAGTGGGGGCTTCGTCTTCAATGGATGCCATGACCTTGCCGTGGTTGGATTTGGCTCCAAAGCCGACCTTATTGCCTTTGAGATTGGTGATGTTGACGAAGCTAGAAGCGTTGGGGGCAGAGCCAGTGGCCAATGGCTTGGAACATGGTGGCAGTCAAGACCGTACCATTTGTTATTTGATGCTACTTTTGTGCAATAAAATAATCGAGGAGAACATGAAGGGATAGGACCTTTTTGATAATTTGATGGTGTAAATGGAGAGGTGTTTGGACAGGAGGTTTGACATGCCACCATTGTAGACTATGCAGACTGCAATGGTCTTGCGTTGGTTGATCTCTACGAGTTGAGTGACAACTAAGTATTGATTGAAGATGGAGAATTCATGGTACTTTGCTAGGATGCGTATGATATTGGGTGCATTGATGACCCCAACTAAGAGTAGGAGGAGAGAGGGTTATTGTTCCGGTGGCCATCGGGAAGAGCTGCATTATTTGAGTAGAACGAAAATACGGTAGCAGTTTTGGGTGTGTTGTCGATTTTATTAGGGTAAAATGAGTATTTTAAAAAAATTGATGCTCTGGTCTAATGTTTTCCATCTGGATTAGTGACGGAAGGGAGGTTTTTGTTGAATTTTTTAAAAATTCAGGGGAGGATTTTGTTAAAGTGAAAAATTAAAGGGGAGATTTTTATGATTGTCAGAAACTTCAGGGGAGGTTTTTGTATTTTACCCTAAAAGAAATACATGATATTATGTGGTGGGGGCTATACAAATATCATGCATCTAACCAAATCAATGTATGTTATATATTACATATAACATATATTTGTATATGACATGTACTATAGAGTCGGGTTTGGGTTGGCTAAGGGGTCAACCCTAACCCAACCTGAAGTAAAGTCGAGTTTATGAATTTCTACCTTAACTCTAACCCAAACATCAACCCGACCCAATCCAACCCAAAATTTTCGGGTTGGGTTAGGGCCAACCCGGCCCAAATTACAGCCTTAAGCTACATCAGCGAAACCTCGACTTTTCAAAAATTGAAAATCACATCTCCTCCACACAAGGGGCCGCCCCACAGTACAATCATCGGGAGATGTTCCCAATGCACAGTAGGAATGTACTGTGGGGCGTTGTGGGGGGGGCCCTTGTAGGGAGGAGATGTGAAGTCTTAAAAAATTGGGGATATGTGTTAATCTTCGGCTTTTCCATGTGCGTCTTTTAAATTGGTCCACACGACGGTCAAACTGGGCCCAATTTTCACCCTCATCAATTTTTTATCCCGTGACTTATAAGTCCTGAATAATTTCATGTTATTTGCCAAAATTTCAGATTAGTACCCTATGCATGGGTAGTCTCACTTTAGTACCTAAACCTTTATATGCACCACTGCAGTCCCCAAACACTTGAAAATTTTCGCCTTAGTCCAAAATCGTTAATTGACATTAGATGGCCAAAATAACCCTATTTAAATCCCCTAGTCAGTGATTCTTGTTGGTGTAGTTACACAAGAAATTGTTGCTAGAAAAGAATTGCAGAAAAGATTGTTACCATCAACAACATAGAGGCTCTCTAAATCCTTTTTGCAATTATTCACCTAAGAAGAAAGAA